TAAGATAGTAGTAGCAGACGCAGAACAAGGCATAACTCAAACATCTAAATTCTACAGTATTAAAAATGACGATAAAATTCAAATTTTTCTTAATAACAATATTACACATTCATTTCATTACAAAATAGAAGAACAGATTTTATTAGTTCTTTCAACATCCTTTGTACACATTATTACATTTTATTTTCCGGCAACTAGGTTGCTCTTAATATTAACTCTTCTACCTTTTCATTGGTACATGTTTTTTATTTGTACATAGCACTTTTGTAATCTAAATCAACATCACAGCGTTAAAAACTGGTGAACTCGACCACTACAATTTTATGATGAAACCACAGGACACAGAGAAAGACAAGATAACACACAACTACAGCTCGCCTTCATCAAGACTACAAATTAGGGAAATGTCAAATCTGAATTCAAGTTTGGTTTGTTTTTTTTTTAAAGAAGACTTTACATCTTTTTTTTATTTTTCAAAATCTAATTATTCCAGCCAAATAAGGTCAAGCTTTTCTAGTTATGTAAATTCTAAAACTCTAGCTAAAATTTGTGCACATGGGTCCAGGAACTGGATAATATCATAGAAATAATAATAAAAAAAAAAACCCTCAATAATTATTATCAAATTAATAACAATTCATACGTGTAGTCAATTAATTAATTAATTATATGGCACAATGATCACTTGAATAATGGTACGAAAAAATCTCTCCAATAAATAGTTCAATAATCACGAAAGAATACCTTTACTTACATTGACGGAAAAGACATGGAGAAGGAGAAAAAAAACATAATGTCAACAATGTGGCGTTATTTGTTTCCTTCTCCGGTAAATGTGAAAACAAGATTACTATAACATGTTTAAATCTTCTCTTAGGTATACGTATGATACAATAAACAAAATATACACACTACCCATCGTAATAAAGTAATAACAGTTATACTATAACATGTACACAATAGCAACAAGATTTTATTTAAAGTGTGAATTGATGGGGGGTGGGGTGGGGGGATGGTTGGAAAAAAAAAAAAAAGTATACAAAATCTTAAAAATTTGATTGATCAATAACTAACACATTGTCTTATTAATATAATTAATAAAAAAATTAAAAAGTTTGAATATCAATCAATGAACTTTATATGATAGATGAATGTTAATATGTCAGAAATAATTGGTTTATCGTTTTATTATCTTTTAGTTAACCGATGGATATGGAGTGATACCTCGGACAGTACATACCCTTTCATTTTGCGTGCATGCTGGTCGTTTAACATCGGAACAACCAATATTATTGATGAAATGATATGGCTGTGTGTGAGGTCACCGTGCCCTATATTTAATTCCGACTAGGTTTGTTTTAGCAGGTTTGCGGTTAATTCCTAGCCAAGAAAATGAATGATTAAGAATTTGTAATGATATTTAAATTTTCAAAATATATTCCAACAAAGAAAAGCTGAATATATATATATTTTATTTTTTTTGTTAATTTACCCGTTACGATCCGAATGTTTTTCGACTAATTGCCCTATTATTATTTCCTTAATATATACACATACCTTGTTCATAAAATGTTACAACAATAGATTATTCGAAACAAAAAAATATTCCATTTTTCTTTACGGACATTTTTATTTATTCTAATCACGAATCAAATCAACGAACTCATAAATCAACGAACATAATTTAACCTCAAATTTTTGTTCTGATAAATTTCGAAATGTAACGTTTTGTTGCAAATTTCACGAACAACGGCATTTCCTACTAGTTTCATTGATATGGTTAGAAGCATCTACATATATACGAGAGCAGTACCAAATGTTTGAACTACCGTAATAATCAGAACCCATAGTTCCAACAGTTGAAATACATTTACAATTGTTCTAGATTTTGGCAGGCCAGAGAAAAATCCAATACTGGTAGAATGTGTCAATTTCTATCATATTTACTTGCGTTCTCATATTTTAACGTGGCATAAATCTATGGTATTTTAACGTGGAAAATGATTTTTCAAGAAAAATCTCTTTATTAAAAACTTTGACCAAGAAACAAAATGGGAAGCACTGATTCCAAGTAAAGCTCACAATAAGGCATTTTTTTTTTTTTGTAATATCTTCATTTAAGTTTCTGATCATCCTTTACGAGATGTTTAACTTTTAATGACAGTGTTGTGAAGGGTTAGGGTAGTAAAATCAGTCCAAAAATGGTTGAATTCCATTCAGTATTTTACAAGGACATTTTGTATTGAAAATTCGTCGACATTCGTCGTCCTCCACCGGTGATATAAAGTGTAAATGGTCAACACAAGCCAGGATTATTTTTAATATTTGTGAAAAATCTTTGATGGGCCTCTTTTAAATCTGATTGAATTCAAGATTATCTGCCGATGATATTTTGATTTGTTTTCTTAAAGATGCATTATGAGAGATTAGATAAAGAGATGGCTGTTCTCGCTATAATAGTTCAAAATAGATAATGCAAAATGAATATACTGAAAATTTCATTAAAATTACTATATTTTGAGCCAAGTTAGCACTGTTTGTAGTTTTGATATAATGTATGCATTGATTGTTCATTATCGTAAACCACGGTACTGGTATATTCAAGACTTAGACTCGCTTTCAATTAAATCATTAAATGGCCGAACTATTCTAATCTAGTTGAAATCTCGAGCATCCGATGCCATCGAGATTATGGTCTTGTCATGTAAATAAATGTGTAATTAATAATTTATATAACATTTAAGGCCAATACACAAATTCAGGTCTTGAATAATGTATCTTTAATTAAATGCTAAATAATTTTAACAAGGAATTCAGACTCAAAAATTTAGATATTGTTCGAAAAATGCGAATGACGACTCGCAGCTTTTAACGCCTCATGTCCTTCAATCTTCAATTACATCTTGTACATAAATCTACATGTACATAGCAGAATGTCGGGGATCAAGATAAAATATCTTAAGTTTGTGTTTCAACTAACAGACCAGCAAGTTCGGTGAAGACTAAAGTTGAAATGTGACCTCTAGAGTCTAGAGCCCATGACAAACAATTGCATGTTCAGTCACCGTTCTCTTTCATCATAATTACAATGGATTCAGCAAAATAAAATAGGTCACAGTGGTAGTTAGCCAGGTTTTTGTAAATCAATACAAAAACATTTAAATTTCTCAAGAGCAAAAATTGATTTTTAGTCAAAAAGTGTTTCAAAATCCATAAATTGTAAAATTTATCAAAAGCAAATATTGATTTTGAATCAGAATCTTGTAAAATTTGAAATTAGTACTGTTTTATTAATTCTTTTGAATAACAGGTTGAAAATCTTTGATCGTCATTCGAGAGGTTTTTAATTCATGATAAAATATTGTCAAAGTTCAATTTCTAAAATAAAGATCAGTCCAAAAATGGTTCAATTCCATTCAGTATTTTCAAAGATATGATGAATTAAAAATTTCACAATAATCTCCCATCTTATAATAAAATCAATTGATGGGCCTATTTTTAACCCAGCGGAATCCAAGTCAAGAAATTATCTATCTAGCGTTATTTTGAATTTTTTTTACGATAATGTCCGAAAATTGTACGACTGGGGCCACATACTTAAATAGGAGTGACAACACAAGCCAATATGATAGAAAGTTGCGATTTGAGGTATAATGGTTTTTCTCTATAAAGCACTAGGTTATTTAAATAAATAAAACAAAAAAATAATGAAAACCTTCGATTGTTTCGAAACACATTATGTAGAATGGTTTTACAGTGGTGCTCTCGTAGGAAACAATGATATAACAAAAACAACAGATTTATTTACAAACTTCTGATTGGTTAATAATGATTACGACGTCTGAAACAATAAATGAACTATAAAGACCCACGGATAATAATAATGAATATTTATAAAAGAAAAATGATGAAAGGAGAATGAAATTTGATTTCAGTTGAAAAGTCCTTCTCTTCTGCTGGCTTAATTCTTCCTTTTCTCTACATTGTTTTTATTACGTGGCTTAAAACATTTCAACGAATACTTTTATAACACATTGTTCACAATTGTCAAAAATAACTACCTAGCCTTGTTCAAGCATTTACGTTAATTAAATCTAATTAAAGAAATTGAATCAACTAAGGTAAACTTTTTGTAAACTTAATTTAAGGGGGAAACAAAAAATCAGCAGTCACTTTTGGCAAACTCAAAATAACTATTTTGATTTCTACCTTTTAGGCCTGTTTTCCATGTACGTGTTTACCCACGCATTTTTTGCCCGTTACATGGAAACGCTCCCATTACGTGGAAATAAACTGAAATGAAATGGGATTGAACGTTCTACTGTTCTGTTCCACTTTGGCTATTGAAGACCGGCATATGCCATACGGTGTGCAATGAGGGAAATTTTGCCAGGGCAGCAGCACACCAATATATACACAGGATCTTGGTTTTTCGTCTCATCCGAATGACTAGACAGTGATCCTTGTCAGGCCCTCCCTCCTGCACCACCTGATGAACTTTCTCGACCATTGCAGGGATCGAACACACGCCCTTCAGGCTAGCGAGCCAACGTCTTACCCACTACATGGAAAACAGGCCTTAGAGATTTGACAAAAAAAAAAATTTTGAGTTATCAAAACCAAACAAATAATTTAAATAATTATACAAATATGAACTGAAATGGTAAACGTCAAAAATGGAATTTTCAATGGTACATGCACAGACTACCAAATATTATTCTCTTTTTAAGAAAATTACATTTTTGGGCCTTAAACTTTTAGCACCATTACTAAGAACATAAAGAGAATGCTAAAACACATTAAAACGTAAGCAACCCGTAAACTTGTTTAAAAAGACACGACGATAAAAACAGAAAGGCTGCCATAATTTGCCTTTAGTACATTTACACGATAACACAAAGAAAAAAAAAAAAAAACATTGAAAATTTAAATCACGAAAGATTACTCAGGAAATATATCGGCATACATACAAAAACCAATATATTTATATATATATATATATTCATATTTCATAACACAAATAAGCTTCTTCAACTGACCAATTTTTTCGTTCAATAATGTTTTCAACAATTGCGGACACAACATTCAGGGTTTAACAAGACTTATTTCAGCCATTTGTAAGAACAATCACAGCCTAGATTTATTTATAAAACAATAACCAACAAACACGATGGTCTTCCATTTTGTTTTTGTTTTTGTTTTTTTTTTCAATCACTCGACCAGATGGACGCGTTCTCTTTTCATGTGATTGGCTCTTCGGAAAAATAGTTCACCTTTCATGAGAGCTTCTTGTAAGAGTTTGGATGACATTTCAGATTTAATGTCTATGTGTTTGGATTTGCCGTTGACAATAGATTTATCTCGAGCCAACAGTTCCACAATGTCTATTCCCAATCGCTTGAGTTCTTCTCGTAGAATTCGGTTTTCGTCCTGCAGATCGTCGTAGAGACTTTTGAAATGCTGCAGACGTCCTTCCAGTTCCATATTCATCTGTATGTATTTCTCACTCAGCTGAAAAGACAGAAAAAAATACAACATTGAGTTTCTCTCAATAATAGTAATTTATTTATGTAGGAAACGAGAGGGGTAAGTGCAACTCTCCCTTAAAGAGAGCAACAGAGAGAGAGAAAGAGAGTTTTGGGACTAACATATGGTTCAATTTTATTTCAATAATTCGCTTGCGCGTAGGGGTCTTTAGCAGTGGGAGGAAGCCAGAGGACCCGGAGAAAACGCACAAGGTTGGACAGGCGATCCTACTCCTTGTCACGTACAACCAGGGAATGACAGACCTTATGATACAACGCGCACATGCTAACCATTCGGCGATCCTACTCCTTGTCACATACAACCAGGGAATCGAACCGCGCCAGTCGACTCAATGACAGATCTTATGATATAACGCACACATGCTAACCATTCGGCCATCAAACCCCCGATAAGAGCAACAGAGGCTGGACAAGGCGGTAGATCTTTGTAGCTGCTGGATCTACCAATGATTCCCGGACAGCGACGCTACGTCCTGCTCTTATATCAAATTCCGACTACCAAGGTTTTTTTTACGTGCACGCCATTGTGTACACAGGACCTTGGTTTTTCGTCCCACCACTGACAAGGGGGAGCACGCCGGAAAATCCTAATGAACTTTTTCATTCAACACAGGGATCGAACACGTGGAGCCTCCTGGTTAGCGAGCAAACGTCTTACTCCCTGAGCCACAATGGCTCCCGGCACTCCAAGGTGTTTCTTATATATAGCAGGATAATGGAATGTGTCATACTAAATTCAACTATACATGATTTAATACGACAGTCAGTTGAGTTAAAATAGACATGTAAGCTGTATAAGCCCACTTAACCCATATATACACATCAGACTTATTGACACTTTTTATAATAACTATTATTGTCAGTTGACAGCCTTTGTGTCATTTTACAGTTATTTATGTTTCTAAAATATCGCTAGGTCGTCTAACATATGGCTCAATTTTATTTCAATAATTCACTTGCGAGTAGGGGTCTATAGCAGTGGGAGGAAACTGGAGGACCAGGAGAAAACACATGAAGTTCCACTGGCGACCCTACTTCTTGTCACGTAAGCCAGCGAATCGAAACCACACCAGTTGACTCAATGACAGACCTTTAATGATAGATACAACACACACTCGCTAACCATTCGGCCATCCAACCCCCTTCATTCATAAAGAGAAATTTAGTTCCTAAAATAGCATCTCTCAATTTGCATCAAAAATACCCTAAAATAATAAGAGCCCTTGAAGGTTTGTAAGATTCTGTAAGTTTATAGATGGCAATGATGTTTTATGTTTTTGGAAATTGATAACAATATTGCTACATTCAGCTTTGTAAGGCACTCGGCAAACCTCAGCATATTCCATTACTCTGTATCTAGCCTCGGCTGTATGACGGTAAGTGATAATGTATGTACCTTCGCCTATACAATTGCGATGCGGCACCAGTTTACTTATTAGGAAAAATTGCCGATTTTAAAAACAAGTTATCAAAATTGCGTCGTTCGAAGCGTGTGTAGAATTTTTAGTCCAAAGTTGCCCTTGTTTGAAGAAAATCGGATAAACTTGAAAGAAAAACAGCTTCAGACTGAAATATTTGTATAAAACATTCCTCGAAGGCTGCGTCATGGGCAACGCCGTTTGTAATCCGGGAACTTGAAAGTAGTTCCAATGGCGGACTTCGTCATACAGCCGAGGCTAGATGTAGGGTACTGGAATCTGCTGAAGTTTGCTGAGTGCTTTGTAGGAATGTTTCTACTGGCAAGATGGCCAAACAAAATGGCTTACAAACTGTAAAGTGCATAGAAACCAGGCACAATAACTGGGAATGCACCAACCAATAAATAGAGCTGGGGAGTGAAGGATTAAGTGTATGGGAGGGTAGAGTAAGGGGGGAGGTATCCAGGTGGCATTACGGTAAAAACAAAATAATCTGTTTATTTTTTTGGGCATTTAGCCAAGTAGCTTTATACCAATTCAGATAGCAAATGTCATTTTATCTACAATTATACTGATAAAAATAAAAAATCGAGCATTATCAATTCGTAAAATACAAAATGTTGGGCGCCTGGTAACCAATTATCTTTTCTCTTATGACTTGTGCCACGCAATGCCTGTATGGATATTAATAACAATTTACATAATTCTTCTCCCATTACAATAATCTACGTTTACGGTTCAAATGTACAAATTAATGTAGAAGAATAAACTAAGAGTTTGGCAGTTGCATACAGCATCTCAGGATGTGTGATTAGTCAAGTATTCAGGTCTTCTTTGTGAAGCCATTATATATGATTTATGTCTAGATATTTAGAGAGAGAGAGAGGGAGAGAGACTCAGAATGGTGATTAGTCAAGTATTCATCTCTTCTTTGTGAAGCCATTATATATGATTTATGTAGACATATACACCTAGGCAGGTATTTTGTGCAGTGGGGAGAGAGAGAGAGAGGTTTAGCATCCACTCACTAGACACAAACTAGGTCATTTCGGGACTAACATATGGTTCAATTTTATTGCGCATAGGGGTCTTTAGCAGTGGGAGGAAGCCGGAGGACCCAGAGAAAACCCACAAGGTTGGATTGTGTAGAGGAAGAGAGAGATCCATTCTACATAAACTAGGTACAATTTTTAGGGGTCTTTAGCAGTTGGTGGAAACTGAAGGTCGGAGGACCCTGAGAAAATCCATGAGGTCAGGTACGTGACACCATTTCCTGTCATGTACAAGTGTGGGATCGAACCCATACCACTTGACTCAATGACAGATCTTATGATCTAGAGTGCACTTGTTAGACCCTTCGACCACCTAATCCCCCTCTCCTGTGAAAATGATCTATATCATATCACGTTGGGTCGAAGGTCAAGAGACAGAAATATTACGTCTAGGATATATCCAGTAATCCATCATGATTCGACACCCAAAATGTCCGTTTTTAGTATTATTAATGGCTTGTTTCATTGATACCTAGTGGAACCTCGACCCAATTAAAAGTCTTTTATGTTCTACTAACTCATTTATCATCAATATTTTTCGGCGATCCATCAATTAAACGATATCTAACATGAAAGTTTACATGGGGTAATCACGTCTCCAGTATGGTTAGCCTCAAGGCAAGATGGCCAGCCAAAAAAAACTATTAGACAGCTGAATGGCGACCTGAATTCAAATAATCAATAGGTGTGTTATTATTGCAACACAACCCGTATGCACCACCGACTTCATCTCGAATCCCTCCAGACACGACGAAAATACCCCAAGATGTGCTCTTGGCACAAACTGGAATGCAAAACATTTGGCTAGTCGCCAGGTGTGGTGTTTTTGCCAGCTTCGCACTCTACTAACATCGATTTCTCTACATGTTACTGTTGATGTGTATAATGCCTCCGAACAAGATCTGCTTCAATTACCATGGTTGTTTTACACTAAAACCCTCCAAACCATCACCAGTTCCTTTTTGAAAGCGATTTCTCGCACAAAGTAGAAGGAAAAATCAATGGTCAATGGTGTCTTTGATATGAGATGTAGAACATGTGATATAAGGTGAGATCACAAGCGTAGGTGTGTTGAGTAACTGATGTAACAAATGTTCTGTAAGAATTCTCATTTATTTTCAAATAAAGATAAATACTAGTACTAGCAGCAGAACGGGAGATGAAATGAATAAAAGATTTGAAATGGGGTTTTAACGTCCTAGGGTAATGAAGAATAGCGAGAGAGAGAGAAATGGGGTTTAATGTCCACTCGACACAAACTAGGTCATTTCGGGACTAACATGGTTGATTTTTATTTCCATAGTTCGCTTGCACGTAGGAGTCTTTAGCAGTGGGAGGAAACCGGAGGACCCGGAGAAAACCAACGAGGTTGGACAGGCAACCCTACTCCTTGTCACGTACAACAGGGGAATCAAAACCATGCCAGTTGACTCAATAACGTGCTAACCATTCAGCCATCCAACCCCCCATGAAGAATAGCATACGTCATATGAGGATATGAAATAGAGTTTAACGTCCTACTCCGACTGGGCCAATGAAGATGAGCATATGCCATAAAGTGTTCTATGAGGGAAATTTTGCCCAGACAGTGGCGCTATACGGCCTACTCACATATCAAACTCCAACTGTCAAGGGATATTTTACATGCATGCCAATGTGTACACGGAAATGAAATGAAATGAAATGGAGTTTAACGTCCTACTGTTCTGCTCTTAACCTGGGCTAATGAAGACGGGCATACGCCATACAGAGTGCTATGAGGGAAATTTTGCCCGGACAACGGCGCTACGGCCTACTCTTATATCGAATTCCAACTGCCAAGGGATCTTTTACGTGCACGCCAATGTGTACACGGGACCTCGGTTTTTCGTCCCATCCGAACGACTAGACAGCTTTCCTTGTCTGCCCCTCCGTCCTGCATCACTGACAAGGGAGAACCACGCCGGAAAATCTGGATGAACTTTCTCGGCCAATGCAGGGATCGAACACCCGACCTCCAGGCTAGCGAGGTGTACACGGAGCCTCAGTTTTTCGTATCATCCAAATGACATAAGGATAGGCCATAGTGCCGCTGCCCGGGCAAAATGTCTCTCATAACACACCATATGGCATATACCTGTCTTCATTAGCCCAGTATCAAGTTGAACAGTAGGACATTAAACCCCATTTCATTTCATTTCAACATACACTCGACACAAATCAGGTCATTTCTTGACTAACATATGGTTTAATTTCATTTCAATAATTCGCTTGCACATACAGATCCCTAACTGTGGGAGGAAACCGGAGGACCAGGAGAAAACCCACATTACACAGGACTTCATTTCTAGACAAATAGATCAGATTAGGGTTTAACATACACTTGAAACAAATAAGGTCATTTCGGGACTAACATATGGTTTGATTTCATTTCAATAATTCGCTTGCACATAGGGATCGCTAACTGGGGGAGGAAACCGGAGGACCAGGAGAAAACCACAATGCTAGTGTACAAT